GAAAAGGAAAATGTCCTTGATGAGACATGTGCTCCTGAAATGGCAGTTGTACCTGAAAGTCAAGAAATCTCCATAAATTATACATCCACTAATGAATTATGGAACAGAGATGAGATAATCATCGATAATATATTTGCATTCTTAGTGGCTACTGAGATCATAAAAGATGATGATATTGAGCCTTGCTCCATTGATGAATGCACACAGAGACAGGATTGGCCTAATTGGAAAGATGCAATCCAGGCAAAATTAGACTCTTTGGAAAAAAGGAGTGTTTTTGGACCCATTGTTCCAACTCCACCCAATGTAAACCTTGTAGGTTACAAGTGGGTATTTACAAGAAAACGCAATGAGAAAAATGAGATCGCGAGGTATAAAGCACGACTTGTTGCGCAAGGTTTTTCACAAAGGCCTGGAATTGATTATGTGGAAACATACTCTCCAATAATGGACGCAATTACGTTCCGTTACTTGATAAGCTTAGCGGTTTCTGAAAAACTTGAAATGAGACTTATGGATGTCATTACCACATACCTGTATGGAGAGTTGGATACAGACATATACATGAAAGTCCTAGAAGGACTTAAGCTGCCTGAAGTAGCCAGGAATAAACCAAGGGCCATGTTCTCAATCAAATTGAGAAGATCATTATATGGGTTAAAACAATCTGGGCGAATGTGGAATAATCGTCTCAGCAAATATTTACTGGAAGGATATACAAATGATCCTATTTGCCCATGTGTGTTTATTAAGAAATCAGAGTCTGGATTTGCGATAGTGGCAGTATATGTCGATGACATGAATCTAATTGGAACTCCTGAAGAACTCTAAAAGACTACTGACTATCTCAAACGCGAGTTTGAGATGAAAGACCTTGGAAAGACAAAATATTGTCTTGGCTTACAGATTGAGCACAGTACTTATGGAATTTTGGTGCATCAATCAAATTATACTGAAAAAGTATTAAAGCGGTTTGGCATGGATAAAGCCCATCCACTTAGCACTCCAATGGTCATCCGGTCGCTTGACACTAAGAAAGATCCATATCATCCAAAAAGGGATGATGAAATGGTCCTTGGTCCAGAAGTACCATATCTTAGTGCAATAGGTGCTTTAATGTACTTAGCACAATGTACCAGACCTGACATAGCATTTTCGATAAATTTGTTAGCAAGATACAGCTCTGCTCCAACAAGCCGACATTGGACCGGCATTAAACACATTCTACGATATCTTCGTGGAACGACAGACATGGGCTTATTCTATTCCAGTGAATTGACCAATGCCCCAAGTATTGTTGGGTATGCTGATGCAGGATATCTCTCTGATCCACATCAAGGATGCTCACAAACTGGGTATGTGTTTACATGTGGAGGAACTGCAATCTCATGGCGCTCAACAAAGCAAACGTTGGTAGCCACATCTTCCAATCACTCAGAAATACTTGCCCTCCATGAAGCCAGTCGTGAATGCGTTTGGTTAAGGTCAATGATTCATCACATCCGAAGCACCTGTGCCTTGCCCTTAACAACGGACACTCCAACCGTCCTGAATGAGGACAATGCAACTTGTATTGCTCAAATCACAGGAGGGTACATCAAGGGTGACCGGACCAAGCACATATCACCCAAGTTTTTCTACATGCATGAGCTTTAGAAGAGTCAAGAAATCAAAGTCAGACAAATCCGTTCAAGCGATAACTTGGCAGATCTCTTCCCCAAGTCTTTACCCAAGTGCACATTCCAGAAGCTAGTGCATGGCATCGGATTGCGACAACTCTGCAAGCAATCAAATTAGAGCATGCAAAATCAGGGGGAGCATTCAAGAGTCCTCTAACACTGGACATAAGCGCGTTGTACTCTTTTTCCTTCGACTAGGGTTTTTCCCACTGGGTTTTTCCTAGCAAGGTTTTAACAAGGCAACATGAGCGCACTTCACATTACCCTAATGTCCTAAATGATGTTGTACTCTTTTTCCTTCGCTTAGGTTTTTTCCCACTGGATTTTCCCAGCAAGGTTTTAATGAGGCAACCAATTAAGGGACTAGTGGTCTCCAAGGGGGAGTGTTGTAAAGTCGGTGGAGACCAAACAGTCATAAAGTTAGTAAAGACCAAGCCCACATAATGTAATAGTCAAAAGGGCAATAATTATGTTGGGGTAAATTCTTGAAGATGCTTTCACGGGAGGCCATTCTAATTGCCTATAAATAGGCTTCTCCCTCAGTTGTAAATGAAACAACCAACTTCAGAGAGAAATTTAAGAAAGAGTGAGTAAGAATCCTGAGAGTGTGAGAGCTCTATCAGTAAAGAAAGTTCTGTCAATGTAAAACCACAAGAACTAAATACAATTCTACTCCCAATATTCGGTGGTAATTCCCATACTTTGATTATTTTATTTTATAACAGATTGTAATTTTAGGGGCATTGTTATAAATCAGCCTATTTTTTTTATTATAATCAAGCACCTCATCAACTTTGTTAAAAATCATATCAACCATAAGTTCTTTGTTTCTTATGGGGCTCATTGTATTTTTCATTTCAATCTCACTATTTGCAATCTTTTTCTTGCCAAACGCTTGAGAGATTGCATTTATAAATTACATCATAAGTGCAGTACAAATACAAAAGCCTCAAGGGCTAGAACAAACGCCGCTGAAGGGCTACACCAAACACGGGGAAATCTAATCACATCATCAAACTTATATGGTACGCCTCCACTTAAAGCCACACAGGCCAACTTAATGCCACACAAAACCATAGACAGTCGGGCTTAATTGCCTCCAATCTATAATAACCAAGTACATCACCCATAACGCAACTTATAAACCCAAATTCTCCTGAAGAGAAACCACAACCACAAATCAATAACTTAACAGAGTGGATGCACTTATTGAACCAAAACAAAAACTGAAAACCAACAACAGCCAACCCCAGCCCATGACTATGACTTGAAAGAAAGCAGACTCGAAAAGAAGACCCATAAATCTGCCACCGTCGATGTCGTTGATGACACCGCTACTGTTGTTGTCACAGCCAAACCAAGTACCTACAACAATAACACACACAAAATAACCCAACAAACCCAATATCCAAACAAATTTGGCCAAAAAAGCCAAGATCCAGGTAGATCTTGGTACATATCTAAACTCCCCATCCCCTAAACTTCACCTTCTTCACAATCCAATCAAGCTTTCCCCACAAGTAGAGCAGCAAGCTAGGACAGGGAGAGATTGAAAGGAAGTGAGAGGAGGAGAAGGAGGAAGAGGAGTTGTGGCCTCCCTCCCCCTCCCCCTATCACGTCGTGCTTAAAGGGAAAAGAGAAGGGTTTTAGAAGAGAGAGAGAGAGACGAAGGGTGTTGGGTTTACTCAATTCATGCTCACTATATGCAATTTCAACTCATCACTTTCTTCACTCATCTCCAAATTTGAAGGATTCTTGAAGATTCTTCCATCCTAAATCATTCAAAATATAAACTTCCTGTAACACATATGCGGTATAATACCAATTAATTTAAGATTGTATATATGTATGTGTGTAATTTAAATTCATTCACCCAAAAAAAAAAATTAATAAGATGAATTATGTATAAATAAGTAAAGGAAAACATAGAAGAAATAAAATGACACATGAATGAGAGGTACAGACAGAGCCCACTTTGATAGAGTCAATCGTATAAGCCAACTTTGGTGGCCACACAAAGATAACTAGCAATTCCAGTCATTAAGGCCTTCCCTTTTTCCCAACCATAAATGCAAAGACAACTAGATATGACCAACTCCTTTTTTCCAATTCAAATTCTTCATTCAAGAGCACCTAATTTCAACTTATATGAAAAGTCCAAATTTGAATCTTGGTTAATAGCTGTCCTAGTATTATAAAATATTTACAAATTATATCATCTATCTTACTTGTCAAATCCCTTATTTTTAGCATTTATATTTAATTTTTAAGCTTAATTTATTAACTTGCTAAGTTGAATATTAATCATTGGGTTCTTCTTTCTTCCTTCTCTTTGCGTCCTCCCCACACCCAAGCCTTGTAACTTTCTTAGAAATGAACCAAATGATTCGGAATATTTGGTTTCTTTTATATTTTTATGCAATTCATTTAATTTAATTTTCCTGTTGGGTTTTGGGTTAAGGTTGGCATTCATAATTCTTTTCATTGATTGCTTGAAGTTGTTTGGGTGCATGAGGCCCTCATCTTATCTGCCCAGAGCTTGATCATATCTTATCTCGATCTATTGCATGGTTAATATCTTATCTTGATCATTTCTTAATATTTAACACTAAACAACAAATGTAAAAAGAGTTTTAATACAAAAACAAGACAATCTCGTAAATTTTGGGGAGAATGCACCAACTCAATTCATCTCAACACTGAAGGTTTCAATCATAACATTTATTTTTTTGCGGTAGGTTTAACACCATTCCTTCACTCCTCCATCACATCTTGTTTCTTTCTTACTCCCACATTTTACTTTTGGACCAGAGGCGGCCTTGGGGTGGTGCAAGTGGCGCCACCGCGCAGGGCCCCTGAAAAAAAAAAAAAATTATATTATATATTAATATTATATGAATGGTATATGTACTTTTTTTTTTTTTAGGTTAGACCCAAGGGTATCCACCGCCGACAGCAGTGACTAATCCCTTTCGCCGCGAGAGCTCTCCCAATAAAGGTAAACGGCTAGCCACGAAATGCGCTCCATGGTATATATACTTTAGCATGCTACATATTATCACAAAAATGTATGTGACGGAGCTGGCTTTGTAGCGCATATCCCTTAATAGAAGGGCCGTGTTCAAGTATGACGGCTCTGTTTTGGACTCCACCATTTGAAACACGAGTTTGCCTTTGCTTTCGTTTTTGTTTCCTTTTTTCCCCTCAAAAGTCAAGGGTGAGAAAGTACCACATAGGCATAGCTTAACTCGACTTCTCTTTCCTTGCAATTGTCCATTGTCAACATAGACTTCAATGTCTGCACGCTATAAATAAGAAACTTGAAGTCATCCCATACATAACTCAAGCTTTCTTCATTAACAATGGCAAAGCTCCTTCGGGTAGCAGCCTCTGCACTAGTCTTTGTCATCCTATTGCTTGAGCTTAGGTTGGTTTACTCTTCAGCAGAACTACAAAGGCCAATAAAGGGTAAGGTTTTTAACTTTACATATTGCTCTAGCTGATATATATTTTTCATCGTTCAATTGATATTGAGTATATCAGTCATGTGTTTATATTAAATTTTGTGCAGAAACTTGGGAAGCCAATAATGCAGCTGTTAACACCGGTGCCTGCACAACAAAAAGCAAGGCCAACTTTGATAAGCAGCAATCAGATTTAGGCATGGCAGCTCAACCTCCACCACGCCTTCGGAGACGATTGGCTCGAGGTAGGGACGGTGATCATCCAAGACCAGAAACAAGTCCAGCACATGCTATACCTGGCGGACGTCCTTAGTACGAGGATCATGTCTTGCCTAAGACTTGTATTGACAGTAGGGATATCATTAGATTTCACAGCAAAACTCTTACCTGTGTATCCATTGCAATGCCTTCATCCTTGATTTCCTGCCCATATATATGTATGAAATTGTTTCGATAGTTAAATAAAATGTGTAGTGACCTCACAACGTGTCGGTCAAATAAATTTATTTGAGAATCTCTCAATAGAAGAGAATTTTACATAATTCAGCCCATTGTTCTTTGATCTGGGCTGCCATGTTTGTAGCTATCCCCCGTGTTCCCACTATTAGTATTGTTAGGGCCGATGTGATTCGGATTTCCAACCTCGCAAGCAAAGCTTCTTTTTTTTTTTTTATAAACTAGTTTGCTTTTTTGTTTTGTTTTTTGTTTCTTTGACTACTTGTTTTTGTTTCTTTTTTCCCCTCCAAAGTCTCTTTCCCTGTAATTGTCTTTGTCAACATAGGCCTTCAATGCATGCAAACTCTAAATAAGAGACTTGAAGACGTCATCACATGCATAAATACTCGAGCTTCTTCATTGGCAAAGCTCCTTGTGGTATCAGCCTCTGCACTAATATTTGTCATCCTTTGGCTTCAACTTGGATTGGAATACTCTGTGGCTGTACAAAGACTAAGGCCAATTTTGATAAGCAGCCGTCAGCTCGGATTTTACGCATGACAGCTCAACCTCCGCCCCCTCCGATACCAACAGATAAAGGTAGGGATGGTGATCATCCCAGAACAAAAGCAAGTCCAACACCTCCTCAGGCTCCACCGGGCAGACATCCCTAGTACGAGGATCGTGTCTTGTCTAAGTATCGTAGTGACAGTTGGATATCATTGGATTTCACTGTGACAACATAGACAAAGAAGAGACTGACTCTGACCTGTGTATCCATTGCATGGTCTTCATTCCTGATTTCCTGCCCATATATGTATGAAACTGTTTGTTTCCCAGGAAAAGTTAACAGTGAAGTTAACTGCCACCTTAATGAATAAACAAATTGATAACCAGTTACCGTATGTATCTGTTGAAAACAACTGTTACATAAACTAAACTGAAAGATGAAAAGACAAAAAAAAAAAAAAAAGGAATCATCACATTGATTATTAGTAAAATTCTGATATAGTGATGCCACAGACACCGAACTCGAGAACGGACAACTATTTATTCATCAAAGTCTCCAAATTAGTAAATAAAACATAAACAAGAGGAGCGCAGATGGACCAAAAAAAAAAAAAAAAAATTCCAAGTTTCTCTCCAAAAAAAAATGAGAAACTTTCTACATTATATCTTGTTATGTGAGAGATTTGAGGAAGAAAAAAACTGATGCTTCTTGGTACCATGGTTTCAGGTTTAAGATCTGTATAAATTCAATGAACAGAAGCTGAAATAGATTGCTGATTGTACAACCCAGTTACCCCACTTCTTAGCCGGCTTCTCCTCCTCTTCGTGACAACTGTAAATCCTTCGGCATCCCCCCCTTCTTTTGTATTTACATCCGTTGTTTTTGGCTGCTCAGAGTCACTGGATTCAGAAAGCAAGTCCTTTCCTTCATTTCCATAGTGAATTTTAATAATCGCACTATCATTTTCTATGGCATCTGAATGGTTTTCCTGCTTACTTTCAGTTACAGGATCCTTATTCTGCTGGACAGATTTTACTATGAAGCTGAGCAATATCTGCCTTGCAAGCTCTGACTTCTCAGTCTCAGAGATGCTCTTTCTCAAAATGCCATCTCCAGCTTTACTATTGGAGTTTACATCCCGTTCCTCCTGTTGAGACCTAGTAACTTCAAATGAAGGATTTGATTCACTTGCAAGTTCTGCATATTCATCTATAGGATCCGCTTGCCAAACTCTCCCAGGAACAAACTCAGGAGCATGTGGATTCATGATTTTTGGAGGACCAGAACCAACACTTTCTGTAATGTGTCTTTGAAATTTCTGAACACCTTGCCGCAAGCGGAATGAATAATTGGTTTTATAATACAAAGGCGACCGTGGCCCACAAGGAACTCTAGCAGCTGCTGGGGGGAGTACAGGTGCTGAAAGCATTACTTGACTGGCTCTCACATCGTATACACTTGTAACAGCAGCCGGATTTAAAGGGTGAGTTGTTGCGAGTGGTCTTGGAGTGTATGGTTCTGCAGCAGCTGAAAGCTTACTTCCATTTCTTTCTCCAGACTTTTCTTCAACAATTTCAGGGGATATAGCTTCCAACTGGGAAGCACTTTCAAGACCTGTTCCATCCAACTTGTCATCTGGAATTTCTTCTACTACAGAATTTCCTATGCTTTCATCTATTTTTAATGTCTCAGGTGGAATTTCGCATGGCTTGGTTTCAGGGTTTTCCACATTTAGGTCTTCAACTTTATCCAGCAGTGCCTTTAGAACTGTACCTGGAGGTGCCAAAGCTACTTCTTTGTAAGAGACAGTTTTTGAAGTCAAGTTCATAGTGACTGGAGTAGTGGGAACTTTAGAAACAGAAGTTTTGGAATTAAGTTTAACTGAATCCTCCCCAGCACTCAAAGTACGAACCTTTGACTGCTTCGGTTGAGATAAATCAGTCAGAAAGCTCTTAGGAGCTGCAGTCTGCGGTGGTGAAATGATGTCCCTCCAGTATTTGCTTTCTCTAAAATTAGAATATTCACTCTCTGGCCTCCTTCGACCAAACCTCCGGCCAGTTGCGGTACTCCCAAACCGGACCTTTGAACTGGCTTCTTGCCAACCTTCATCTGAAGTTGTTTCTTCAACAGTTAAGCTTGTAATTGGCAAACCATTTCCAGAAATTTTTTCTTCCTCTGGTTCCTGATGAACCGATCTATCCTCAACTACTTCAGTATTACCATCTAGCAAAATCTTGCTCCCCAGGTCATCATCAGCTATTACATTTTGATGTTCCTGAGATATATTATCACTCGACTGATGTACCTGAAAATAAGGAGAAATAATGTAAGGATATCAAACGTGAAAAATGAGCTTAAATAGCTATCATATTACAGTAACATCAGCCACTTCCATCGGATCCCAATGTCCAATTCAATGTTCTATGTCCAAATGAATAAAGACTCTAAAGGGAAAATAAAAGAAAAAACCTATCCACCTTTGCACGCCGCTGCTTCCTATGAGCATCATTTACTTTCGAATCTTGATCAGGACTAATGAAATCTAGGAGATCCGACACACTGCACAGAGCCGAAAAGGGTTAATTTCCTGGACGTATGATCATATAATTTGGAAGAAAGTAATTTGGGAATACCATATTAGTACCTAAGGTGACCTTTGCTTGCAATTAATGCATCTGGCTTTGGGGATCCATTACGTGCTGCTTCTTGCTGCTCCAGAGATTTAGATTCAAAATATTCAAGCCATGCAGCTGCGTCCTGCTCAGGAATATATAATTCATTAATATGTCGACTATGCAACTTCAAACTATGTCTAATATAAACCATGGCCACTTCATTTCCTTGTAGTGAGTAACAGAGAAGGCCAGTTGCACATAATGTATCAAATAAATCCAATAAATATAGACAATAGCAAAGATTCTGTAGTCAACCTGAGTACGAAGATCCTCCGGCCCAAGTTTGGCCTGAAGTATCTTAAGTGTTGTTTGCTCATGCTGCACACTGAGGGAATATGCTTCCATCAACGAAAGAGCTATGGCTATGGCATGATAGCTTGCAGCAGTCTAAAAGGTGAAAACCATGTAAGAAGTTCAGCTTACCAGAGATTATATATTCTAAGTGTTTACAGAAGAAGGTGGGCCGTACATGCAGGCATGCAGGCTCACGAGCACAACCACAGAGAGAGAGAGAGAGAGAGAGAGAGAGAGAGAGAGAGACCTGTATATGATCTGCTCCTAATAGTCTCTGATTACATTTGAGTGCTTCATGCAGGTATCTGAGAGCAACATGTACATTTCCCATGCCCTCTTCCATCATAGCCACGTTTATGTACGTTGCAGCAGTATTAGGGTGAGATAGTCCACATGTAAAATGAAGAAGATACAAAGCACGATTTACATACCTAACAAGAACACACAAATCAGAACCGTAAAGAAAAAGTGAAAACACAAAATCTACAGGAAATATGTTAATAAAAATAAGTATGAATCACAGCTGCCAATTTCATTGAAAAGTTATACAATAAAATACTAATTCAACTTACTTTAAAGCCAATTCGATGTATTGAAGACGATAATAGAAAACAGAAAGATCCCCATAGCTTTTCATGGTATCTGGATGGTCAAGCCCAAGCTCCCTTTCATTAATAGCTAAAGCCTTCTGCTGATAAATGGTTGCCTAGACAACGACAGCGAAGTATAAGATATACAGTATATAGAAGAGCAGGATAAAAATATAAACGTGATCCATTACAGTTAAAAGAAAGTAATACCTGATTAAAATCACCAGTGTGGTAAAGAACTACTGCTAGAAGGCTGTAAGCACTTGCTGTAACTCGATGATAGGGGCCACAAACAGCTATCATCTTTGCTAGTGCCTTAAAATGGAAGGGGGAAAATCAGTATCAGAAAAGAGCTGGCATAATTTCCAATTAATATAGAGGTGGTACCTTTGTTCCAAAATTAACAGCATCCTCCAGCTTCCCTTTATCAAGAGCAATTTTGGATGACTCCAACAAATTCCGTCCATCTGCTGAAGAGCATGCTACATGCTGTCAAAGAAGAATTAAAGAAATATTAGACATTTAGAATCTGCCAAAGCTGGGTTACTAAGAGAGGACTACTGAACAGAATAACACCTTACACACTGGAACCATGCTAATAATGTCGTATTTGCTGAAAGGATTTCTGAACTCCATGTCATAATCTTTTGGGGCCAACTCCAGACCAACCTGGAAAGAGAGACATGTGAAAATCATGACTGTGCTTTAATTACATATCAGTGAGGCTCACAGTCAAAATTAAAATACCTTATGGCAAAGTCCTCGGAGAATTGATAACTTCCTCAAGTGCTGAAATTCATCTTTCAGTGTCCAACCAAATCTTCCGGCCAGGAATAATCGTAACCATTGCAATTTGAGGACATCATCTTCCATCCCCGAAGCACCAAGTAGAAAATTTAGGGTTGAAGCAATTGCCGCAGGTAAGTCGGTTATGTTGTCAACACAAGCAATGACGGCTTCAAGCATGTGCTTGAAAGCTCGAGTAACCATCTCATGAATACAAAGTGACTGTATATGAGGAAGCTTCTCCGACAGTTCAACCTAAGTTGTTAAGACAACATTAGGAACAGAAAAAAAAACAAAAAAACAAAAAAAAAGAAAACTCAAATTCACTCCAGGACAGAGACCAGTGTAAAAAGGAATGGTAGCAGTAGCAGAAAGAGACAGAGAGCTGACATACCACACGACCCAA